TTTTAGAAATCTTTCTAGTCTTTCTACTCTTGTAGTCGAGCTAAAAGTTGGTATCATGACCTGATGAACACTGACTTTCTGAGTATGAGGTATATAGAACTAGGATACTGTCCAGTTGTGGAAGAGGAACAAAAGTAGATCGGTGAACATTAGGGTACGGGGATTTCTAACAGCAGAGATGGCTTTCACGAGTCAATGGATTTAACCAAACAGGTCGTAGTCATAGATTTTCCAACCTTGTATCTTGAAGTAGGTGAAAAAGCCAAATCCATTTCAGTTGAAAACATAAAAAATTTGCCTTTTACTTTCACTACTTGTCATGTTAAATACTGGACTACATGTATTGATGTGTAAGTGTGTGACTATCTCATCTAAAAGTTTAAGCTATTAGAGAGGGCACACTTTTATTACTTAATTACACGCCCCCTCACGTGCAGCCTAATTCTTTTTCATGGCATTGACTGTTAAAGTGTGTGACTGTCTCATCTAAAAGTTTAAACTGTTAGATTGAGCACTCTTTTATTACTTACTTATGTCTTCGAATGCCTCCTCACGTGCGAGACTGATTCTTTTGCATTGAGACTCGAACTTGTTTGCTCTGATACCATGTTAAAGTTTATGACCATCTCATCTAGCACCTTGTTTGGATTGTTGTTACATGTTGTTTTATAATGTATCATATTGTATTGTACTGTATTGTATTATATTGTTTGATTAATATAACGTTTGGATAGATTGTATCGTTTGCCGTCGTTTCATGATGTCAAGCACCAATAATATGAAAAATAAACTTACAATATTACTAAGAAAAAAATATGATACGAAGTAGAATTATTACATAAAAGAATAGAGTAAAGAATAAAATATGATTATTTAATAAAAAGGGCAAGATGAGAGAAAAAAGCAAGTTAACGACGCTACCACACCAAATCCGTCGTTCCACATAGTGGCATTTTTCGTCGTTACGTAACGATGGATTTAACGATACGATACAATAAAATTTAAGTAATAATCAAAACAAACATTGTATTTAAAATAACAATACGATACAATACAATAGGCAACAACCATCCAAACAAGTTGTAAAAGTTTAACCTATTCGAGAGAGCATAGTTTTATACTTTTATTACTTAATTTTGCCTTCAACATTGCCAATAATCTTTTTCAATTTTGGCCTTTGGGTCAGTCTGATTATGGATTGCCATAACCTCATGGTGTCAACAGTTTTCATCCTATTTCCATGTCGTTGTGTTTTAGTAGATAAAAGTTTCAAACTATGACGGCTTCAAGATAATCCCTTTAACCCCATAAGTGTAGCAACAGATTAGAGCAATGTCATGATATACAATTATCGCAGGAAACAGTGCACCAAACTAAAGAACAAATAGAAAAAAGAACAAAAAAGCTAAAAGTGACCAAACAAATCAATTGGGTGTCGTTTAGATTACCAAGTGGTGTCGTTTTGAGACTTCCTAACAGCAAGGCGAGTCCAAGCTACTACCTTCCCGGAATTCAAGTGCTTAATTTGGACAGGCGCCGCAACGTTGCCAATGAGTTGGACAGAATTGCAAAGCTCCTTTTTCCACTGTATTTCAGAGGGCCTTGGGTATTGAGAACGCCCGGCGAATCTTTCATACTCATAGACACTAACGTTGCCATTTCCAGAGCTATTATAGTCGAATGAGCACCTTATGCGGCCACGTTGTGCTAGTTCCACTTGCTTTAAGTCTTTCTTCAACGGCGAGAAAAGTCGAAAAGACAGAGATTTTGCAGGGATGTCAGTTCTGGTAAGAGGGGTTCTAGGAGTTGAAGAGAAAAAGGTGTTTGTGAATGCAATTGTTTGTTCTAACGCCATGATTGTATTCTCTTTCGCTTCCTTCCTAGATTCTGTGCGCGACAATAGGATGGAGTGTAAAACCGGGCGACAGTACTATCTTATCGTATGTTCCTTCTTTGGAACTTCGAAGCAAGCAGTGCCTCGATGACGGGCCTGCCGAGATAGAAGTGCACATATAGCTTCTAGTGTTGCTATTTAAGAAATAGCCAAATATTGGGTGATTTACAGGAATGGACTCACTAGGCCCTGATCTTGAACTTTTGTCCCTATTAAGCTAAGTTGAGCAAAAATAATATTGTAAAGCCCTGAGAATTTCTTTAATTAAATCAAGCTTAAGAAAATCCGCTAACATTTCCTTAATTGAAATATGTGCGGGCCCACACTATGATAATAAGGTCATTAAGATACTTGGACATGAATGTCATAAGGGTTGAAGCTCCCTAAGTTGAGTGGCTAAGGACATAACTTCGGAAAATTGATTAGAGAAAAAAATTAAAAAAAAATCATGGAAGCCTTGTGTGGTTGGGTTGCGTGGCCATGCATGCTCGCGTAGACACTTCAAAAAAGGTATGTAAATGGCAGCTTCTTGGTTGTGTTGCCACACTGGGAGGTCGTGACCACACACACTTGTGCGATCGCCTTGCATGACCACCCAAGCATGCGTGGCCATGCAGCCATACGTGGCCAATTCCAAAAAGAACAACATAAGAGAAAAAAAGGGAACTCTTTAGCTCTCATGATTTTTACGACCAACGGCTGGATCAACTACTTGATTTATAGTATGTAATATATTTTTGTCAATTGTTAGATATTTCTTACTTTTTTATTTATAAAGGTCAAGAAGGTGTTTACAGGTGAAGTGGAATATAGGAATGAGTTAAATTTTCTTTTTTTATTGAGTTAGGTGAATAGAATAAACAATTATCGTTTTATTTTAATTACACAATTTATGTCTCAAACACAATATTTAATAAATAACATTTATGTGTTAAAAAAAGAATTGTGTACTCATTAAATTGCGTTATATACGCAATGTGCGTGTTACGAGGTTCATAGGTGTTACGAGTGATAAGCAAGTTTAGTAAAGTCGTGCAAATCGGTACGGACATGTATGTACTTATCTTCGAGAGGCTACGGAACTATTAGAAAATTCCACTTCTTTGATTCCTAATCGTGCAAATTTGTTGGCTTCGAAATCTGAATCTTTGTCTTTCTATTCTCTCACAGATTGTGAGGACACGCACTGCTGGATCCGATGATCAGACACTCGCGCGCCCTACTAGAGTTGCGCAAGCCCGGGTCGGGGCCGAGGCCGAGGAGGGGCATGTGGTGCAGCCAGAGCACCTACCCGAGCAGCGACTGACGAGCCACCAGTAGCTCCGATTGGGGGACAGACACCCGAGGTGCCTGTTGTTCTCCCTGGACTTCAAGAGACCCTAACACAGTTCTTGAGCATATTCGGCACTCTAGCTCAGGCAGGATTGATTCCCCTTGCACCAGCTACATCTCAGGCTGGGGGAGGAGCTCAGACTCCCACGACCCGCACTCCAGAGTAGCGGGTCCATATTGATCATATTTCATGTGTCATACCAATACAACCCGTTATACCGGTTCGCCTGAGGTCAGGGCAGAGGCCTCTGAGGAGGAGCATAGGAGACTTGAGAGGTTCAAGAAGTATGATCCTCCTACTTTCAGTGGCACAACTAGCGAGGATGCACATGGTTTCCTAGAGAAGTGCCGTTGTATTCTCCGCACCATGGGTATTGTGGAGGTGAGCAAAGTTTCTTTTACTACGTTTCAGTTGTCAGGAGTAGTGTACTGGTGGTGGCAGGCTTACGAGGAGGGTAGGCCAGCTGATGCAGCCACACTCACTTGGGATTAGTTTTCAAAGATGTTCTTAAGAGAGTTTGTTCCCCAGACCCTTACGTGATGTATGGCACACCAAGTTTGATCAGTTGCGTTAGGGGACTATGTCAGTGTTAGAGTATGCTATCAGATAGAGTGAGTTATCTAGACATGCACCTGCCTTGGTTTCTACAGTCAAAGAGGGAGTCTGCAGATTCATCAAGGGGCTCAACTATGGTATTAGATTCAACATGGCACGAGAGTTGGAGACGGATACTCCGTATCAGCAGGTGGTAGAGATCGCACGAAGGTTGGAGGGTATACGGGGTCGTGAGAGAGAGGACAAGGAGGCCAAGAGGCCTCGCAATTCTGGAGGATATAGTGGTGCCCGCGCACCAGTTCCATCCTATCAGGGTAGGGGCTATGTGAGCCGCCCAGTTCATTCAGCAGTTCCAATAGCTTCTAGCAGTGCTTCGGCTATTCCAAGGTCTCAGGTTGCTCATTTTGCTCAGCCACTATCCAGTGCACCTCCTACATGGGGTGCCTTCAGCGGTCAGTCTAGCGGACCAGGCCAGGGTCATTTTCAGCAGCCATGCCCACTGAGAGCTTGCTTTGAGTGTGGTGATACCAGACATAAGGTGAGGGACTGCCCCATATTCAGGAGGGGTGCACTGATAAGTGGAGATTTTGACTACTTATTAGTGCCTTTTAGCTTTTGTTTTAGTCTAAAAGCGTTTAATTGTATTTCTGAAACTGATGAAATGTGCAAAATTTGCAGGAATGTTGGAAGTCGGACTCTCGAGATGAAATTCGACTCAAAAAGGAGTAATCAAAATACAAGGCAACAAAAGGCGCAATAGCTTGCAAAGTGCGAATCCGAGAATTCCATCTGCGGCCGCAAACAATGAAGCAAATCCCAACAGGGTTTCCTTACAAACTGCGGACCGCACAGGAATTGTGCGACCATAAATGAAGAACTGGAGATGAACTTTAGAGGGTGTGCAAATTTCCAAAGTCCAAGTCCCTCAAGAATGCGGACCGCACAAGAATTGTGCGGCCGCAGAAATAAAGATGTGAACCGCAGAAGACCAGGTTGCGGCCGCAGTGATAAATCTGCGGACCACAGAAATAATGCCTCGTGGCCGCAGTGAGAATTATACTATCGCAGAATCCCAGCTCCTGCAAAGATGAAGACTTATACGGACTGCACATGGAATTGTGCGGCCGCAGAACCTCCCAAAGGGCATTTTTGTTTGAAATTTCCAGCCTTGTATAAATAGACGAGTTTCACAAAATTAGGTCAATATTTGACATCAGCAAGTCCTGTAGCCATTTTTCTTTGCTTCTTTTAGTAGTTTTCTATATTTTGGGATATGTTAAAACAGATTTTATCATTTTGACTTTCAAATATGAGTTTAATTAGTATTTCTTCTTCTATTTCTTCTATTTCAAGCATGAGTAGCTAGATTTTTACTAGGGTTGTGACCCAACCCTAGTGTGTAAACCTTATGGATATCTAATTTAGTGCTTGTTTATGATTGGGTATTTATTATTTAGCTTTGTTCATGCTTTAATTTATGGAATTGGTCTCTACATGAGTAGCTTTGTTTATCCTATTTGACTTGGTCTCTACTTGAGAAAGAGAGACTTAGTCTAGGAAAACTTGGTTAACAAGAAATTGGGTCAATAGATAGATTGATTAACCTAATTAAAGGGTTCAACCTAGAGATAGTAATAACCCTACTTGAGCTTTTATCAACCGTTTTGTGCAATACCCATTTGGTCTTGAGAAAGCCAAATTGGGCAAAACTACTCTCTGACCGAGAGGTATTGAGTAGATAATTGAGAGTTGATAGCTATAATACATCCTGATCAACAAAACAAGCATTAAGTTTTATATCTTATTAGGCAAATACCTAGGTGATGGTCATATCCCTAGGCTTTTTAAGAACTTGAAAAATAACAAAAACAATCTTAGTTTAAATTCTTAACTTTGCAATCTTTGTTTTAAAAATAGAAATAGAAACTAAACCAATTTGTGAAAGTGTAAATTAAGATAGTTCAAACTCACGTACTAGAATATATACTCCTAACTCCCATATAAACGCCTTGGATTTGATCTCGACTCTTTGTTGGGTTACTATTATTGCAATCGACCGTATCATATTCTTGTTTTGAGGTGTGATTTGAACGAGATCAATTCTTGGTGCCATTGCCGGGGAGCTAAAAACGGTGTTATCTATATATTTGTGTGTGTTTTTGGAATATCTTCTTTTCCTTACGTGTTACTAACGTGTTGGGAAATTGTATGTGCAACCATGGCAAATAACGAGCTTGGAAACATTGCTTTGGGAGATGTGGACGTTGAGGATGATCAAATGGATGAGGTTCCTCTTAAACCTCAAGCTAATAGATGAGGCCGAGTTCCTCAGGACAATGTGCACGCTCCACCCCCACCCCCACCAAGAGCGACTCCACACCGGGTATTGCCAAATGAAGGATATGCAAGTGCAATAGTCCCTCCCCGTATTAGGGCGGGCAACTTTCAAATCACCAATGTGATGCTCACCTTGCTTGAGCAACGAGGGTTCTTCATCGGTGCTCCGGGTCAAAATGCATACAAACATTTGAAGGGGTTCGTGGATACGTGTTGGGGGAGTAAACAAACAAATGTCTCCGAGGATGCTTTGAGGCTAAGACTTTTTTCCTTCTCTCTACGGGGGAAAGCCTTAGATTGGTTGGAACGTTTCCCAAACCATTCCTTTCATACTTGGGATGAATTGGCGGAGAAATTTATTTCTAAGTACTTCTCTCCCAGGCACATGGCTATACTTCAGGATGAAATTCTAGCATTCAAGCAAGAGCCCAATGAACCACTACACGAGATATGGGAACGGTATATAACAATGGTGAAAGAGTGTCCCAACAAGGATATGATGAAAAACATAATTCAACAAACTTTCTATCGGGGGATCAATACAACCAACCAATGTGTAGTAAATCAACTTGTCGGTGTGAACTTCATAACTACGCCTTATGCAGAGGCATGTGATATTTTGGATGAGATGGTGGATACCTCATCGACATGGAAATCCCGGGCTAATGATCCACAAGGTGATCCCAATATGATTCATCTTCACAAAGAATTGCATGACCATGGGCAAGCCATAGCCGAATTGACTACCACCATGAACCAATTGGCAAAGGCTCAACTTCAACAAGTGTAAAACCCGAGGCAAGTCAATGCAATGAAAGGGGTAAACATGATGGAGAACAAACAGAGACCAAAGGGTCCACAAGTGCAACAAAGA